CAACCGAAGGCATCCTCCTACTGTACAAGAGTTCCTGTTCTGCAACCATGGGTCTGCCCAAAAAGAATTGTTACAACGTCTTCAACGCCTTGCTGCCGGCATCAATACAAGATGCTGCGTCCCACTTCAATGGCCTATCATAACAGTGGTAAGTACATGACATGTGTTCCTATTCGTGTAACTTGAAAGGATTGAGTAAAGAGAGTGCTTCGCTCTCTTTGATCTTGCTGAAACTTGTGGTTAGGCCAAGCAAGATACCCTCTCTACTAGCTACCGGTCCTGGTAGTAGGCAGGAACGCTTGTCTTGGATGCTTGGCTGGATGACCAACAAGATGATGGCATGCAAGATGGTACGTATGAACGAAGCCCCAATTGCTTTCCCTGCCTTGAACTCGAAGCGCTCGGCGTGCAACAGTGCAAGCAAGTGCTAGTACGGTACTACTCGAAGATGGCTATTCCTCTTCCTTGCATTGATAATCGTACTCGCTGCTTGTGTTGTCGCCCTCTTCTCCCCCTCTGGGCGTTCGTCACTTGTCTCTTCGGGTGGCCCTAATCAATAACATCCCGAGCCGACGACGAAAGGGGAGTGTTGCAATTCTCGAATACTGGAGTAGCGTTCTTCGCTCTGCCTCAATCATTCATCTAGCTATCATCAGCTTGTCTTCCCCCTGAACTTTTCTTGTCTTCCGGGTGGTTGGTGCAACTCTTTTGCTCCCCTGGCCGTTGATGACGTACAGCTCCTCTAGCTAGCTAGGCTACATATATTGACTGGAAGCGCGTCATGATACCGTTGAACCTTTTGAAGCAAATATCCCACCACGCATTGGAGACAGTTGAGACGCACCCCCACAAGCAGGTACCTGTAGTAGGGCCATCTCCGCCCCATCTATCCATCCATCATTCAAAGTCCCTTTTTCCCCCACCTCTCCCGTTTACGTCGTACAACTTTCTCCTGAATCACCTCCTCCAGAGAATCTACTACATACACGATGTAATTCTTGGTATCTTCTGTTTGGCTAACGGTACAGGTTTAAAGTGTAATTTTTCCATTCCAATGTAAGGCGTGCATGGGCAGCCTGCCGCCGCTATAAAACTGGCCCCCACATTTCTCCTCGATTCCACTTCACGTCCTCGGCAATGGATACCCTCATAGGAAGATGATATGGTTTCGATCAGAATTCCAAGGGAGGCTCCTGCATGGTCTAATTCAACGCCGAAAAGATAGACAAACATCATGACTAGAGATAGAAGATATCGAACGTGGAGCTTGGCTGTTCATTTCCTCTTGATCGACTGCTTCACACCAAACTAACTAACTCACAATGGCGGACGAAACGCCGCTGAAGAAGAAGGTTGCAAGGGCTGCTGGCATTCATATGCTAGCCAAAGGAGGAGGCATGAATGTTGTGGAGGCCATGGGATGGGCTGGAATGAGCACGCCGCAGAAGAATGATCCAAACATTCGACAGAAAGTTCGACGGAGATCCCATTCACTCAAGTCGGAGGCAAACGCCTCGAGAATCCTCCAAGGGCAAGCATCTGCCAAGGCACCACCACCCAACATAACTGCGGAACAGCGAGCTGTCGCTGAAAAGTCTCTCAAAGAGAAACTCGCAAAGAAGAATCGGTTAACAGGACGACAAGCAGCTGCTGCTCGAAAGCAAAAGAAACAGCAACGGGACACTCACAATGCATTCTACAAGGCTGCGTCTCTAGAGTGGAAGGAGGAACTGCTGAGAGTGGAGGTGGACAAGAGAGAAGGCTTTATCTATATTCCAAAATCTGCCGAGACTATTGCAACCGAATACAACCAGCGGCACGGGACAAAACTGATTGGGCGCACTATTCGAAACATGATTAACCGAGGCGATGCTGGCAAGAGTCCCAAGCGACGTGGACCAAAAGGAAGGATTGATCCTGTGGGCTTCAAGGCATTGTGTGGAGCAGTCGAAACTCTCAGCTCCCTGTCTCAGGATGTTGACAAATCGAGGCTTTCAAAACTACTGAATGCTTGTGTTAACATGAATGAAGGTCTGGGCAAACGGCAAGGACGCTGGCTGCTACAACGAGTGGAAGCAGAGATTGGAGATGTTCTAGAATGTGGCAAGCAAAATCGAGTGGAAAAGAGAAGGCAAGCATGGGCTACGTACAGCAATATCAACCTCTGGTACGACTCTCTCAAAGCTCACTTCCTTCACATTGGAGCAGCTGAGGAAGCAAATATGGCGGCAGCCAACGGCGAGCTCCAGTGGGTTGACAGCACTCAAGGAAGAAGAATTGCTAACATTGACGAATCTGGGCTGACACTCGATGACACCAAGAGTCAAAAGGGAGGCCGCCCTCCGTTGAAGTTCTACAATCCAAGGCTTCAAAGCGAAGCCATCTACGAAGCACACAAGAGCTCCTACCATTGCACTCTTCTTGCCGGAGCATTTGCCTCTGGAGAAAAGCTGCTGGAGCACTTCCAAATTCCGTCTGATGCCCAAAATGAAGAGGACATGGTGATTCCTGTTGAATTTATGGTCGATATCCTGGAGACGTCCGGTCAGTATTTGCTCAAAGAAGGAACGAAGGCAACAATCTCTGCTACATATGGAGTTAACAAGAAGGGTGGCATGAACAAGGAGCAGTTTGGGAAGTGGACCAAAGGAAACTTTATTCCCATTATTGCTGATGACACTGCAGATGTTCCAGGCAAGCGCATTACTTTGCTTGTTGATGGTGGACCAGGCAGAACCAACAAGGACATGTTGATTGAACTGCGGATGCTTGGCATTTATCTCTTTCCCTCCGGACCTCCCAACACCACTCACATCCTTCAAGTTATGGACATGTTGTTTGGTTTCTTCAAGATGATCTTCTCGGAGAACCTTCAGTTGCTTTGGGAGTATCGTCAGAATACAAGAGAGGAAACAGACTCAATTACACGCAATGACATTGGTCTCTTGTGCTATGGCAGCGAACGACGGAGGCAGCGAGATCCAAACTTTCCTGTCCTCCGAAATGCAATCGAGGAGGCATTCTCCGTTGCAAGATCTCAACATTGCTGGAATGACAAGCTGGGAGTCTATCCACACTTCACTCGCACGGCATTGAATGATCCAAAGGTCCGCCATGAGCTAATTGTTGACTCGGAGGGAGCTGCGTTGGATTCTGTCGACCCGAAAGCTTCGTTGCTCAAGGAGTTGAACGAGCGGAATGAGATGTGTTGCGATATCCTCGATTCGTTTGGTTACAACGGAGACTTACTCCGTCACAAGATGCCAGAGTTTCAACAAGAGAAGCGAGCGGCAGCAGTGACTCGTCCACGCTCAATGGAGAGACAGCTCCAGTTTGAGAAGGCTGGAACACAAGGACAAGTCTTCAAGATAACAGGAGGGATGGCTCTGAATGATGATGATGTTCTCATTGCCGATGAGCGGAGCACTCTGAGAAAGCAATTGGTAGATCTCGAAAAGGAAAAGAAGGCCCATGTTGCTGCGTGGAAACGGCAACAGAAAGTCATGGCTGTTGTGGAGGCAGAGAAAGCACAAAGCAAACTCACAGGAGAGGATCTCAAAGACCTAATAGCATGGAAGAGCGGCAAGCCTTGCCCTTCCAAGTTGTCAAAGAAAGAAGATCGATTGGCTCGATGGCTGGAACTCAAGGACTTGGTTGTCGATGCGATAGAACCTTGGCCGGAAAACAAAGAACAGCAATTGCAAGATCTCATGGCAAAGATCACATCCAATATCAGTCTAGATGACACTGAGTACGGCCGCCAAAAGCAGCTTGCCACAGACAAAGCCAAGGCAATGCTAACAGCAATGTCTCCAGAGGAGCGACAGACCTTCCTCCAAAGCCTGATGGACCACTCCGAGGCGACAACAGAGGATCCAACCGAGTCGGAGAGATTGGATGGAGATGGTGACACCGAGTGACACTTTTGGAGTCTTCTACAAGAGCTGCCGACACAGGTGGATATGGTTGTTTTTGATAGCTTCCACCATGGTGAGTGTGTTGCGGCTAGTCTTCCTTTGACATTATCTATTTGGATTTGGCTCATTAACTCGACATGTTGCTTCTCTTTTAAAAGCTGTTGGCGCCATGGCGGAAAAAAAGATGGCCTTGCTTCCATTTTTCCCACGATACACTAACAATTTACTAGCATGGAAAAATTACTCGCAAAACCTGTACCAGGTACCGGTACCTATTACCTTCCGTCTTTCTTCTAAGAAGCTATTGAAGATTCAACTCTTTGAAGCAGCTGAAGCGGTGTAAGAAAGATACCTTTTTGTCCTTCGCTGACGTAGCTTTCATGACATGACATGGAAGTGTCAGCCGTTTGATTCTTGTGTGACATCGACCGAGAATTAATGGGGTGCCGCCAAAGAGGACCGCGCCAGCGTTGGAGCAAAAAAATGACAAGGAACTGGTGAACAATCGCAGTCAGCCCAATTAATTGTCAAAAGAGGACCGGTGCAAGGTGCAAGAATCAGAGTTTAGTAGGAGGAAGGAAGAACAAACAAACACGTGTCAACCAACATGCCATCATAGCAAGTCTCTTGACGAAGACAAGCTAGCTAGGTACTGTATCGATTTGTAAATAAGTCTATACATCATAATTACACCAACAAGCAAAACGAAGAAGAAGTTCCTCCAGCTATTCCGCCACTTGAATTGGGTCTTGTTTTGATTGATTGATTGATTGATAACAATGCCCGCCATTTACTTGTTTCAACGACGCACTCTGTACGGAGGAGATGATTTGCACGTGTTGGCACTCATGACGGCCACGGCCCGTCTGGCCCAACTGTTGTGTTATTCCGTCTTGGCGTATCACGGCCAACATCACGTGTCGTCGTTTGCGCAAGGAGGTCGTGGCTTGCAGGGTGGTACGATGCAGTTGGGCATTTCCACGTTGGAATTTGGATGGATGGATGCCTGGGAACAACGGCAAGCAGAAGATCGGAGTTTGCAAGACAACAACAGCAATAATGATTGTGATCACTGGTTTCCTTTCTTGTTGACGTCCTACACCATGGCCGGCATTGTCTTTGGCGTGGCGTCGCTGTTGCTATTGGCGCGCATTTACCAAGTGAGCAGTCAAGGGTGTCCTACGATTCATCGACATCCACGTACCGAACGAATGCAGCAATTGCTGGAATGGCTCTTTTTGCCACTCAATATTCTCCATTTTTTGGTGTGGCTGGTGGGGATGGCCGCCATGTCGTATGCGTATTCCTTTGAACAACAACGAGACGAATGTCACAGCACTACTTGTGTGTCCACCTTTTTCACCGTGCTCTGGATTGCCAGTGGCATTCTGTTGCTCCTCAGTCAAGCCATTGAAATTGTGTGGAATGCACTTTACGTATTTGTCTTATACTACAATGATCCTCATGCCATGATTTGGACACCCAACAGTAACAACAACTCCAGCAGCAGTCTACTACTCCATTCGCAATCCTATCATCATCAGTCCTCTTCCAACACTATTACAAATAGCGACACGACATTGCAACCACCCATTCAGACGTATTACGACAATCATGCCCTCGTCGAACAAATGTGGTCCGATCGATGTCACAATTGTTGTCAATGGTTGGGATTGGGAACGTG